AAGAGGCTTGAAAGAGACAATTTACTAATTAATTATCCACATCCTAGTTATGCTAATTTGATAAACTCTACTTTCCAACTCAGAAAAAAAAATTGTATATCTGAAATGTAATTTATAATTGTCCAAAATAATCTTATAAAAAACTTAAAGGCATTCAGTTATTGACAAATTATATAAAGTAACTTGTAGGTTCAACCGGCCAGGTGAAAATTATTGATGTCATATATTGTATCTTACTTGTAAATGACATGTATACACAGTATCACTATATTATAAACAATTACTTACTTATTTATATTATTTACTTTAGATTCACCTTTAATAAATGCTAAATCAAGCTTGTAGACTTAATGCCTTTTTATTAAAATGATTTTTTTTTTCTGAACTGCGTGTATTTATGAATTTTACAAATAACATATGGAGAGAGAAATAATGAAAATATAATATAATAAATACCTGAATATTGTGAAAGATCCTTCAAACATTATTTGTTAATAATAACATAACTTGATATGTGATGATAGTAACAATAATACACTAAATATGCAAAGGATTAAAGTAATTATTTCGTCTTTTAAGTAATATTTTACCTATTTACTGAGATGTTTTTTAAAACAATAAACCCTTTCGTCTTTCCTGGATCAACCACTGATTAGGGGTACTGGTAAGCGATAGATAAATCACAAGATAAAAATAATAATTGAGGCGAACTTAATCGGAGCAATACTTATAAGTTGTAAATATGAAATACATAAAAGATATTTTAAAAGATTTTTTCTTTTTCAAGCCTGGCTATAAGAAAATCAAATCAATGATTCAAACTCTCACAAATGCTGAGAATACAAGAGGTCGTTCAAAATGGTAAAACTGGCAAGATATTTACTTAAATCAGGAAATTGATGTACATTGTATACATATTTCATAACACTCTTCTGTATTTTATATAAACTGAAAAAGGGGCCTAAATGGGATTTAATTGAGAAATTAAAATGACGTTTGAATACATTTTTATGTTATAAATTAATGTGATAGATTGATTCTAGTATGTTGCACAAAACCAGCTGTATTCATGATGATAGTAAATGTACTTTATTTTAGGTTGATATGGAGATCAAATATTTATATATCTGTAAATATTTTTTTTAAAATTCTTTATTAAACGCATGTCTTGATATTTTAATAAAGCCCTATCAATGTCTCATAGAACAGAATTCAATTACATATATCCAAACAATGAAATATGTATGGACATTAAGATGGATGTCAAATTTTACTTTACGTGTTAAATTTCTACGAAAATAATTTCACTGTAAAGAGTGGAGAGTATGAAAATGTAGGAGAATATCACTCTACGTTGATACTGGAAAACAAAAAGGTAGATTTGCTGATATTTACATTCGATGTTCTCTCTAATTCAAAGGTGAACATGAGTCTGACATTTGAATTTGCTCCATTTGAGTACTTTCCAGTCACAGATGAGAGTAAGAATTTATTGGCATGAAAACCATCTTTTTAGCTCAATTGCATTTAATTGGGATCCATAGTAAATAACACACTCTTAACCGAGACATATTTTTTTTTTAAAAAAATGCCTTTTTTAAAAAAATAAATTAATTATCTAAAATGAAAGCATATCAAAAGTACTATCAATATCAATTCATATGCACATTGTATGTTGACATTGTATGTTTTTCAACGTAATTAAAAGATAACTTTGAAAACTTTGGCTCTGAAGATGAAGATGAAAACTTAACATGAAAAGACTTTTATGATGTATAACAAGACGGTCAGCAATAGAAATGATTTCTGGTGACACGCATTTCGAATGTAGATCTTATAGATTTGTTAAATTCTGGTTTTGTTGTCAGGGTAGGACACTCAGTTGTATCAATGAAAATCTGCTCGACGAGTGACTCTTAAAGGACAGCTAAAAGGAGTCACGTATATAATGTACATGGACATGTCAAACGTCCAGATCCAGGCTTATGATATACAGAATGGAACCCTCAGTACTAATCGTCAGAGTTTCATAGATAGTCAAGAATTATACCTAAATTATTGGCTTTATCTATATCTTATCGAAAACAATTCTATCGTCCTTTGCTCCACAGAGATGTCCTTAAGAATTCAGCCAGCTGATATTAGCATCAGAAATGTTTTTCAAAGGATAAATATAATATACAGCGCATACTCGTATTGCATTCTTCGGACACGCAGAAGAAAGCACGTGCCTTGTGTAATACTCAGGTGACCTAGATTTGAAAAAAGAAAAAAGCTGACATATTTGACATTTTTTCATTTTCTTTATATAGCAGCAGTCGAGTGTGAGAACGATGGAGATAATTACGTTCTGTTAATTTCAACAGAAGCAGCATTACGAGCACTTCTTCTTTTAGTCGTCATGGCTGTTATTGTTCAACAAGAAACATTAGAGTTATGAACAATTAACATATTGAATGCGATCTTTAACAATTTAGGCACCAAGTTGTGAAGAAAAGCTGAAATTACAAGCTTTAAAAGGGTTTTTTTTGTTCAATTCAGGCATTATTCAAAGGTATACAGGCCTTTCAGATGCAATATACAATTAAAAAAAATTCTAATACATGTATTATAAGGACCTCACCAAATATTTCCAATAATTCAGTTGAAAATTTAAAATTGATGTTAAAGTGATATTCTAATGTTTTAAAAAGGATGCTATAGGCCTAAGGCATATTTTTGTTTTGTATTTCATGTTAACTGAACGATGGTGAATAAACATGCATAGTAGACAAAATTGCTAACGTACCACTTATTATTCTTATTTGTGAATTGAACATTTGCCTAATCGGTGCTCGTATATCTAATATGCCTTCTTTCCTAATACAGTGGGATTGAAAAATGTCTTGGTGTCTTAAATGACCTTCTTGCCCGAAAACCAATTTCCCGACGTGAACTGCGCATATCTTGTTGCCCAGACATGAAGTTGGCGATTACCTAAGGTGGCCTGTAAGGTTGCAACAGAAGCAGTCTTCCTGTTAAAAATCAAATAATATACAGCGACTGACTACCAAATCGCCTAGTAGTCATCCAGTACCTTGGTGTCCATACCCAGTTCACCAGACTTCCGTTTGCCCCAATTTTGTGGAACAATCTTGAAAATTGTCGCGTGATGGTTAATGATGCCGAGTCTATCAACAGTAAACATTATTGTGTTTGTTAACCTATTTACAACAATTTTTCACTAGAGAAATGAATAGTATTTCAATCGTTTTAATTTGTTACAAATTTCTCCATAGGAACCCCATGCTGACATCATAATGACTGCTTTTACACGCTCTTCTATGGTCAAACGCCGCATACGGAGTTTTTTTCCGGAGTTTTCAATTAGTACAAACATAAAAACGCAAAAAAAAAAAATAAAAAAATAGAAAACTATTTCTCCCAAAAAGTATGGGCACGATTATCATTTTTGCTATGAAATGGTTACTCTTCAATTACATGTAACATTGTAGTTATTTATAAGTTAAGACATTTAAATGCCCCATTTTCTACTTAAGAAATATAATTATACATGTATATCAAATACATGATAAACAAGATTTGAAAAGTAAAATTTTAATTTTTTTGGTGGTGCGTTATCAATTTTGTCTAGTTTATTTATATAAGCCATTACGTAAATATACTGACTCTAAAACTCATGAATCAAGATTTTAAGAATACTTGTAGTACATACAAGTAAACAAGTGAATCTAAAGCTCTTTGTTTATTAATCTTTTTTAATCCTTTGTTATTTAGTTTAAGCGGACAATAAAATTTTGTGCGGTAATAATTAATTTTACTTATCATATAAACCATTTGAAATACATTCTTTAAAACAATTCAAACCATAAGATATTTTTTCACAAATTTTTAAATTCAGTTTTTCCAAAATGTCAATGTTTTTGAAATATAATAAAATGTCTTTCAATTTTGATGTTTTCAATTTTTTTCTTAAACATATGATTATTCATTTGACCGAGGCTCACTTTAAGGAATCACTTTAAGATTAAAAATAAATACGCCTCTCCAGATGACTTGCAAGTTTGTGACTATTGTCTTCCAAATGTACAGGTCCTCATTCCTTCTTCCTTATTTTCCCTGAGTATAATTTCAAAAGTAATGGCTAAACAAGATCAATTACTGTTCGTTATCTACACCTTTTTCATACAAGAGGATGATTCACGGTTCACTTTTCTTATCAAGTTCTGTGTTTTTCTTTAACGATAACTTGTCAACAAAATACGAAAAAGATACTGGGGAAGAGGTTTGAAAGAAACAATTTCCTAAGTAATTATCCATATTATGATACTTTATCCTAGTTATGCTAAATTTTTAATCTCTGACTTCCAACTCAGAAAAATAAATTCCAAAAGAAAATCTGTTGAAAAATTGTATATCTGATATGTAATTTATATTTGTTCAAAATAGTGTTATTTAAAAAAAAAACTTAAAGGCATGCAGTAACTGACAAATTATATAAAGTGACTTATAGGTCCAACGGGCCAGGTGAAAATTATTAATGTCTGACATATATTGTATCTCAAATATCATGTATGTACATATCACTATATTAAACAATTGCTTTCTAATATTATTTACTGAATTATCTTTAATAAGTGCTTTATCAAGCTTGTAGACTTATTAAATGCATTTTTATTTAATGATTTTATTCTGAACTGAGTGTATTTATAAATTTTACAAATGATATATTAAATAATGAAAATAATATAATAAATATATGAATATAATGAAAGATCCTTCGAACAGCATTTGTTAATTATAACATAACTTATGTGATGTTAATAACAATAAAACACTAAATCTGCATAAGGATTAAAATAATTATTTCGCCCTCTAAGTTATATTTTTTTCCCAATTACTGAGGTATTTTTTAAAAATAATATACCCTTCCCTCCTTCCTGGATCCACCACTGATGAGGGGTACTGGTCAGCGATAGATAAATCACAAGATAAAAACAAAATGGAGGCGAACTTAATCGGAGCAATACTCATAAGTGGTGAATATGAAATTTATAAAAGATATTTTAAAAGAATTTTTTCTATTTTCAAGTATGGCTATAAGAAACTCATGGGAATGAATTAAAATCTTAAAAATGCCGAGTAAAGAAAAGATCATTCAAAACCGTAATATAAGCTAGTACTTGTATATTTACTTAGATCAAGAAATTGATGTACATTGTAAACATATTTGATAACACTCCTCTGTATTTTATATGAACTGATAAAGGGGTCTGAGTGGGATAAATTTTAAGTTTCTGTCCAATTATCTTTTTCTTAAACAAATAAATTCTCATTAAGAAAAAATATATCTGAATGTTCCTTAATTTCGTTTTGTTGATAATAAGAATTTGAGTACAGGGGAAAATACTTGTCAGTATAATTTTTTTTTTTTTTTTTTTTGAATCTTCAATCAACATCTTCAAAAAAATTTGAGAATCTATTGGATAAAGTATATAATTAAGGAAGAAAATTATAAAAGATGTTTAAATACATTTTTTCTGTTAGATTGATTCTAGTTTGTTCCAATCTGTTGCACAAAAGCAGCTGAATTCATGATGATAGTACTTTATTTTAGGGTGGTACGGGGATTGAATTGATTGAATGTTTGATAAACTTTTTTTTAAATCATCATTGCTAAACCTATGTCTTAATATTTTAATAAAGCTCTATCAATGTCTCAAGGAACAGAATTCAATTACACATATTCAAACAAAGAAATATGTATGGACATTAAGATGGATGTCAAACTTTACCTGACGAACGGAAATGAAACAGTAAATTTTTCCGGAAACAATTTTACCGTTAAGAACGGAGAATGTGCAAATACAGGGGAATACCAATCGTGGTTGGCAATAGAAAACAAAAAGGCAGATGTGTTGACATTTATATTCCTTGTTGTTCCTGATTTAACGGTGAACATGAGCCTGAAGTTTGAATTTGCTCCATTTGAGTACTTTCCAGTAGCAGATGAGATTCAGTCAAGTAAGAATATATTGTCGTTTAAGCTTCCCTTTTTCTGATAATTACCTAAATTTTATAAGCTTCATACATATTTATATTTTTTACCAGACAAGTAAATAATTGTTAGAATTTTTTGTCCTTTTGCATAATTTGTGATAAACAAGGCATTCTTAATCAAGAAAAATACCTACCTGGTGAGTGAAAATTATCCAAGTGAATTAAAGTTAAAGAAATGGGAATTTATAAAAGCTTTTCAGGCAAAATGTTTTCTTTATTGGTTTATAATCATTAAAAAAATTATTGTATTTAACTTATAAAGGTTCATATCATGATGAGAAGTTCACTTGGATAGACTGCTGCGATGCATTACAAGATAAACATAAATGGTGTACATTTTTGCACAATTGCTAATATTTTCTTGAACACGTATTTTGAATGCAGATATAATAGATTTGATGACTACTAGAGACTCAAAGCTTGGAGACTTTGCCAAGTTATATATGTGCAAGTCAACTCAGAGAGTGACTCTTAACGGACAACTAGGTGGAGTCACATATACACTGTACATAGACATGTCCAACGTTCAAATCCAGGCTTTTGATATACAGAATGGAAACCTCAGCACTGATGGTAAGAGTTAAATTATTTTTAAACTTAGCCCAGAATTAGACTCAATTCTTTGGCTTCTTTCCACATCTGATTCAATAATTATTCTTGTCTTTTTTTCTCTTTTCCACACTCCACAAAGATGTTCTAATAAGTTTTTACTTAGCTGAGATTTTGCAATATATTAGGCATTCTTTAAATAAGCACAAGTATGCAGATCACTATGAGCATTTTTATAAATGAACAATCTTATATACAATTATATACAATCTATACCATATACTATCTTATTTTGATTCATTCACATATGATTTATTATGTGTTTGAAAGACTGTAAAATGAATGGACAAAGTTGCAGTGCCGTTTTGTTTCAATTTTATTTTTTTTCTAAATTAATTGTAATAAAACAAAACAAAAATAAAAAAAATTATAAAAATAACTTCAGTTAAATTATTTGAACTTAAAATGAAAATTGTACTATAATATGTAAATAATAAGTGTTCAAAAATTAATAACATCAAACCATACCTTCCAACTTTATACAGCCATTCTTTGCGATAAACATATCATATTATGTAATATATGATAAGGCATAATAAACAAATTTTCTCTAATAAAAATGGGATTCAAAAATTTTAATATAATATCTTGTGATTGTTCATTTACACCCTTTTTCCCTCTAGAAAGTCATTTTGATTCTATACACAAGTGCATTACAAAGAATTGACAAGTAAAATTGATGCAAAGCATCAAATCGGCCGCAAACATTTAGCATTTCAAAAAGTACTTTCACAATTTTAAAAGCATCCATCCAAGGAAAGCACAAGATATTCAAAGCTGAAAGAGTGATCATTTTTATTTCAGACTGTCTTCAAAGAAAAATAAATAAATAATTTAATGAAATGAAATGAATAGAAATTTTAGTGTATTTGCTCATCAAATTGATTCATCGATGTAATAAAGTCAATGATAGATGATAAGAATTTATTGCCATCAAAATTAAGATGTAGGCCTAATACTCTGGATCTTTGTCACGTGGTAATGCCCATGATTTCTGCAGAGTAGGCTATGCTGCAGAAAAAATTATCCTTGTGTCATTCGCAGCTGTAGCATAATTATTCAAAACAAATTTTACTAGTTAATCAACTTTTCAATTTTTATTCACCATGCACTTTTACCACTTCATTATTATCCGGAAAAACATAACGATTTGCTTTCATATCTTACACATTCCCAGGTTGGGGAGTACCTATTGTAAACTCTTTTTTTATAATCCTAAATTATCAATTAACTGATGAGAATGATAATGAAACATAATAACAACAATTAAAACTTAGTTTAAAGCAAGTTTTTAAAATATCTTGCTCAGAATTTCATACATGTTATTATTTAAAAATTATTTTACTGAACTTATAAAGTACTAACGTCTCATTTCCCCATGTGCACTTTCTAACACAACCACAAATAGATCGGCCGCTGCTGCGGCCGATAACAATATTTATGTAGTCTATGGAGACCAGGTCTTGCACACATCTGTTAAATTTCGAAAGGGCACTAACTGTGCATGCTTGTAATCGTATGCAGTAGAATTTATTCAATTTTATTCAAACGCCACGTAACTGTGGCCTATAAATCATCATCGAGATATAACTGATGTTTCATACCAATTGTTAGGTTATTGTTTAAAATTAATTATGACCACGGATTAATCCGTTAGTCTGATTAACACAGATCGAGGGCTTACGGCGGTTGTGGCCGGTCGACTGGGGATGCTCACTCCTCCTAGACACATGATCCCACCTGTGGCGTTTCCAAGGGGTCTGCTTTATTGCCCTGTTAACGATCCGTATGCTTTTTTTTTTATGTCTCTGATTTATTAGATTACTCACTGTTCATTATCTCTACCTTTTACATCATTCAATATATTTCAGTTTTTGTGTGCAGTGCTGATCACAAGACAACCGACTCACAAACAACAGAGGATTCAACAACAAATTCCTCTAATGGACCAACAACAGAACCAAGCAAGACAAATGTTACGACAATCACAACACAACCAACAACTGAACCAAGCAAGTCAAATTTGACAACAGACATCACACAACCAACAACTGAACCAACGACAATCAATGTGACGACCACCGAACCTTCAACAACTAATGGAACAACGGAACACACAACAGTCGGTCCATCTAATAGCACATCAGAGATCCCCACTACTGGACCCACCTCTGTGGCCCCAACAATACCCCCTCCACCTCCAAAGTCCACTTACACAGTCAAGAATGGGTCTAAAGCCTGTGTTATTATGGAGGGAAGATTTCAGCTGGAAGTCACTTATATGAACAAGAAAAATGCCAGTGTAAGACTAATTTGCTTGCTATTTGACGATCTACATGTAATATCTTCTCAAAGGAATTCCAGTTAGTCTGAATATTAATTTCTTTGCTATCCGTTTTCGTCCGTCGTCTTGCGTTAACATTTGAACATTTTCAGCTTTTCTGCAACCGCTGAACCAATTTTAACTATTTTTGGCATAGAACATCTATGAGTAAAGTGAAAACAAAAATTGTGAATTTCAGGTTCCATGCTCCCCCTGGAGTCTTAGGGATATTTTTTTAATGATATTTAACACAAAAAGTACTTTCATACTTTTTAATGATCAGGTATAGACTTTTAAATAATAGATAGATGAAAATGGGACAAAAATAAGGTATCTTTGTACGTTAAATAATCTTCAGACTAAGAGAGGCCAATGAGAGGGGGAATGAAATGTGTTAACTAGAACTATTGTTTTGTTTAGTCCGTATGAGGATAGTGGCAAATGGGGGAAAGTACATGTTACTGAATACTTAATTAACATTTTGCTGATCCCTGATCATCCTATTTCTCTTGTTTATGGACAACATAGCTTCATTTTATTTTAATCTATGAATCGTTACATTATACTCAGGTGACCGTAAAGGTCCTTAATTGGGCCTCTGTTTAATAACGTATCTATGCTATTAATGTACACCTGCAATGATACTTGTTTAAGACATTAAATATCTTATGCAGGAGAAATAGAAGTAAATGTTACATAAAACATAGTGTGTTACAGACCATTTTTGGCAGTAGAGTGTGGACATAATGATATTGCAGATTTCTGTTTTAAATATACTGGAGTAGAATCTAACAAACGTAGAGATTATTGTCTTTGCAACGCTTTGCAATCTCCTTGTTTTCTTTGATATATTTTAATGTGGGATTTTTTAACTGGAAATGTTACAATGAAGTGTACTTATATCAAACTTTGAGAACAAAATTCTTATACTACAAGGTTTTCTAAAAACGAACAATAAAATTAATCACTCCTCCTGGGCACCTGATCCCACCTCTGGAATTTCCAGGGGTCCGTGTTTATGCCCACTTCACAATTTTGTATTGTTTATAGACTTTTTGAGATCAAACACTGTTCGTTATCACATTTTTCATCTTAACAATTGAAACATTTTCATATAAAATGAATCGAAATGATTGCATACCTTTGTACTGCAGTCCAGTAGAACTGTGAATATACCGGAGAGCTCTCATGTCACTGTCAATGGAACCTGTGATCCAGGAAATTCCAGTCTCACAATCATACCAAGAGAGGGCGCCATTACATCTTTAACTTTCAATTTTATAAACAACAATCACATATCTCAGTTGTTGTCTTGGTCTGCGGATGTCGACTTGAAACATTTCCCGGATGCTAAAAGATGTATGTACATAGTGCTGTTCAAAACATTGAAAGTAAAAACTTTGAGGGAAAGTAAATTTTTTTTAAAGTGCAATTTCAACCTTTATTTTGATTACTTGTGAAAAAAAAAAAATCAATTACAATAGATTTTGAAAGCTCAGTAATAGAATTTTGGGAAATATTAGAGATATTCTTAGAAAAATGTTGTTTTTTTGCGATAATTTTGAAACAATAACTTATCGGAACAGTTTCTTGACACATTTTCAGCTGAGCTCAAACACACAGTGAATGAAATAGTGAACTTGTCATCTCCTAAACTATATTACAAGTGTGACTTAGGGGGAAACTTCTCAGATAATACTAAAGTTCTGACCTTCATATTCACCGAGTTCCAGGTACAGGCCTTTAATGTGGAGGATGGCAAATTTTCAGGGAATGGTAATACTTCTTTTATATACTTTAGACGTATTTGAAAAAATGAATATTTGCGGCCATCTTATTGTATGTACTTTTTTTTTCAAAACAAGGCTGTCAACCTGTTTTACTATAAATCTTAAAATCATTTTTTTTCTTGTGTCAAAGGTGTTCTGAGGCATGATGAATTTACTTTAAATATCCCTTATTCTATCTTTCCAAAGCAACATACGTATAATGTTCACAACTTTATGAAACTATATTTCTTGTCAATGTTTATCGAATCGCACGTGTCATAGCTGAGTTGAAATTTGAAATCAAACCATGCTTAAACTGTATGCAATCTTATTTGCATACTCTTGTCCATACAAACTATCATTTCTTATTCAGGAGAGGATTGTGAGAAGGATGTAGAACCTATCCCTGCTCCCGGGGAAATTCCGAAAAACAAGTTTGTGGTTAAAGACCCGCTCAGTGATGAAGTTTGTGTCTTATTTAATGGCAGAATTCAATTTAACATTCCGTATGTGTCAAACAAGGGGGTAAGTTTGATACAAATCTATCAATATTATACTGTAAATGTTGACAATTATGCATAGTGAATATAAATTAAGCTATGTACTTGAAAGGGGGTTTGTAAAACATAGAGTCATCAGAAAAAAGCACCCAGCATAGTCCACCATTTAGCCTGAAATTATATTTTATATTAATGATTAGGGATGTCAGTTTTATCAATAATTCATACTCGATGGATACCGAAATAATTTGAGGCATGAATTATTCCATCATTATTAATGATGGAATAATTCATGCCTCAAATTATTTCGGTACTTTTCTCTGATGAAAGGAATGTTGACATTTAAATGTTTTAAAAAGTTTCTTTTGATTTGTTGATGATGTTCACAAACATTTTTTTTTTTTTACTGAAGTATAAAAATATTTAAAGTATTTAAATCTATAATGGAATATTTTTAAAGAAAAAAACTAATTTACTTACATGTATAATTATAATAATTAATTGCTATAGTAAGCATGAATTTACTTATATGTTTAATCATAATCATGAATTCAAATTATTTCTTTTGAGCTAAGCTAAAACTCCATCTGTAACAACCAAACAATACATGTATATAACTAAATTAACTCTTGTTGTACTGTCTTATTCATAGACAGTTTCTTACTAAAATAACTATCACTTCATGAATGTACTCAGCAACATAAAGAGAAATAAATTAAATCAAATTTGAATTCAAATTTCATCTTCAAATTAAAAAAAAAATCAAAAACAATTTGAAGCATGTTTTCATTATAGATCAATGTAACAAAATCAGTTCCTCTGCCAACAAAATACACTATTACTGGTAACTGCAACACAACACTGAATGGATATTACTCTCAAAGAATGATCATTGGTTTCTACGACAACTGGAAGATGACCATGTTTTTCTCATCAGATCTGAAGCAAAGCAAACTCTTAACAGTGGGACAAGTTTCAAAGTACCACATCTCTCAAATTGAGCTGAATTATGACTACAACAACAATATTTTTGATGATGCTGTTGAAAGTCGTTAGTTATTTAATTTTTCTTTTCTCTATTTGTGTATATACGTATATAAACAATAATGAACATTTTATTGGTGCTAGTGGTAATTGGCCTTATGCAAGTGATTACATATGAGAGAGTTGGCAGGATAAAACTTCCATTATAATTAAAGTTGCAAATTTTAGGTTTATATTTCAAAGAATACTAGTACTTCCACTTGAAGGTTCCATTAATATTAAACACAAACGATAAAAAAAATGCAAAAAAAGAAAGAAAATAAAGAAGTTTCAGTCCAATTTAAAATACTGTTTAAAATAAGCTAATCAGGCTTTCGTACTTAAAACTTCCAAAGTTCTACCCCCTTATTTCTACCCTCTAAACTTGAAGAAGAAATTCGGTCTTTACTTTCTATAGAGATCCATGGGGGAAAAAAAACTAGACGTACATTTTGTTTGTATTTTTGCAGTTTTCGGTAAAAATGATTCGGTTCTTGCTGCTAACCTCACTCAGTTGACAACAGATGCTACCAATAGCTACTTGTGTAACAAAGATACTACTTTTGACCTTCAACATGGATTTTCTATGGTAACCAAGGATCTCCGCTATCAGGCCTTTAAAGTAAACACAACAGATTTTGATGGTATGCATGACTGTGTTTATAAAAATAAGAAGGTTCATCTTCACATTAACTGGTACATGTAGCTTTGGCCTCGACCGAACATGCTTTGAATTTTTTTTATTTTTTATGAAATATTTCATGTCAGTCAATGTTTTTGCATTAAAGACTATACATTTCTGTACAATTTACACATTAATTGTTTGTGCACGGATTTTTATAGGTTAAAGATCTGCTTAATTGTATTCAATCCATTGCTTGTATAATTTTTTCGTTCAGTTCGGGAATTTTTCACCCATGTTTGTAGACAACACCTGCTTTAGGATACAGATAAATAAGTATCTAGTACATGCATATCAGACAGTATTTTATGTATATATTGTGTTTAACTTCCCATGACTGTATTTATTTGTTCATAATGATAATTTTTTTTTTCTAAAACAGATGCCACCGAGTGTGAAGGGGACACGAAGACAGACAGTATCGTACCTATCGCAGTCGGAGCTGCATTGGCTGGACTCGTTCTTCTTGTACTGGTAGCTTATGTGTTTGGACGAAGACGGAGTCGCTCAGAATATTCAAACAGATAAATTAATAATAAAGATAAATATGTAAATATATACAGATTGATAACGAGAGACGTTGAATTTAGGTTTGATAAAATAGAGGAAGTACTTTTCATGTCCTCTATATTTTTCCGTTGAATATTTATTTTGAATGAGGATTATTGTGAAGTTTTTTTTAAATCAATTTCTGTAATATGAGTAGTATTAAATCCATGTCAACAGTAAAAACAATGATGTGTTAGTGAATATTCTGTTTTTAAAAATTTTCAGACCGACTCAAATTCATCTCATTCTTGTACATCATTTGAACATTCTTCAGCGAAATCCATATGTAGACTACAGTCACAGTCATATAGAGAGTTTTTAACGTTTAATGTAACGTTTAAATTTTACAATTTTCAAAGATAAATGTTAAATCTTTGTATGCTTTATACGAAAGTTGTCCATAAAATTCAATGGCAATGGCATCTTCGTAATTTCTAATGGCCTAATATATGCATATTTTATACCCTATAATGTTTGTAATAAAAATCCAAGTCAAACTATTTAGGTTTTGATTGTTTGAACTTAAACGTCCGTCTTTTATGGTCGCCGAGAGTTTGCACTATCCAGGCTTAAAGTGTTGCAGACTTTGTAATAAAGTTTTTAAATCTAAAGAATATTTTTCAGATAAACCTTTTAAATCTATATAAAAATTATATGTGAAGTACGTAGAACGGATGGTGTCATTTCCCGATGTCGTTACTATCGATTTACAGACGGCTGGACGTATAAACATGCCCACGAAACAGCTCAACATTGGGTTTGATTCTCTGATGTGTATAGGTCGTTACAAAAGTCTCTTAAAAATTTGTTTGTTTTCCGAGATTTTCTCGGGGGGGATACTACAGAGCAGAGTTCAAATTCCTGGGAGAAAGCTGGCTATGGGGGCAATCCTACGCTACAACCCTGGTTTTATACCAATTATTTTACTCAACATGCAGTTATAAACCATGTCACGTTTACAAGGGCGTCGGCAAAGGGGCGGCAATGAGAAATACAGAATTACAAAATTTGTAACGGCAATATCTGTGGTCAATGGAGCGGCGAGAATAACGGCAATCTGTGGTCAACATTGTCAATGGGGCGGCAAAGTGTGAAAGCTATTGTTTACAAAGACGCAAATTGGGATGTATACGTGCATACAGGTATATACCTTTACCTGGCGTGTGTTAACATCAAGCAGGGTATCCATCGCTCTACGTGCGGGTTTGCTACAAATTCTTAATCAGGCCCACAGCAAGCAACCTTTCTAGAAATTCTATTTCTTGGGGATCGGGGGTGGGGGTTCTCTAAGTCACACTGCTCAACGCGTTATCGGCAATTCGGTTGTTATCGGGCATTCGGTGCAAGAAAAGCAATGTTTACAAAACGTAGGTGATTTTAAATTTCTTAATTCAACGATAATTGCGTACTCCAGCAAACAAAGTTTGTGATCTTTGGCAGATATATGATTATACTTTCAGCAGCAAAAAATACAAACCAAATCACTCTCTTTCAAAAGATCTACAACTCTTTAAAATGATATTTTATAAAAATTTCGGAATATGTCATCACATTTTAGCTTTTGTAGAAGTCAATTTCATTTTTTTGTATTAAACAAAATAGTTTATATATTCTATAGACAATCACATACCTGTAGATAAGCAGACTGAAATCAAAAATCCAAATTAAGGGTTAGTTAACAGGCATCTAAAATGTCTCGGTAGGTGAAAACATGTTATCGTCAACAAGGTTGATGTTGCCGGATAATTCGGTTTTTACGGCTGTAAGTTATCGGAAACTCAGGTTAAAAAGTTTCCTTCACCTTTAGAAATAGATTGGAAAAAAGTCAATTATAATCTGTCAATTCTTAAAAATTACAAACGTAATGTTTTTTAAGTGATATTTGAAAATTTTCTAGCTGTTCATTGTTAGTTTTTTGACATACATGTAAATAATTATAATTATGATTTTATAATAGAACTACTTATCTGTTCAATCATTTTTCTGTTTTCCTTTAAAGATAGCCACTATTGGCTTCCATCGGTTTCAGACGTAAATGTGCATGTATACAACAAATCTATAGTTTCTTTAGTTAGTCAGGTCTTACGATCTATTATGTCATTTTTGCAAAAACATCGTCACTTCAAGTGCTCCAATGAGCTAAAAGTTTGTTTTGTCCAATACAGAGCGATAACATTGTTTGTATCAAATCATTTTAAAGTTTGAAATAGAGGAAATCGAATGAGGTGCAAATATACCGCAAAGAAATATTTCTTTCTTGTTATAATTGGGTATATATTAGATTAAGGAGACTATCCTTGTACAAAAACATTGTTCAGTAAAATTAAATAAAATAAATAAAAATAAACATAAAATAAAAAAAAAAGTTGAACTCATTTCCCAAACGTTAAAAATACCTGGGGGTGGGGGTGGGGGTGCTGGTCGATTCACTTCTATTCTTCACATGTTTAACCTTTTCTACAAACAGTGATCCGCGTTTTCAATGGGGAAGGGGGTGTGCCAAGGTTTTTTTTTCTTTTTTATTTGCTTTACTATAAATATTCAATATAACTGTAAATTCCAGGTGAGGTCCGAACCTCCCCGACACCCCTATCGTAAATCCGAATATGAGCTCCACCTACACATTGAATTGTCTACGGATTTTCCATTCGGTCGATAATGACAAAGAGCACTCCGCGGGTGTGATCGGTCGACATGCCCTAACAAAAATTTACTATAGTTAACTATAGTAAACTATAGTTTACTATAGTTAACTATAGTGAAAACTTTGATACTTTGATTTACTATGAAACTTTACTCTGGAACCTTTTTGAGATTTCAAAACTTAAAATCTCTTAAATTCGATAATAGTAATGTAAAATTTGGAAATAATGTGTGAATATACAAATAATATTTCACTTTAATATAAAAAATGTGCATGTATGAATTGAAGAACAAAAAATATAATGATCTGAATTTCATAATAAAAATACTTTGATTTACTATAGTGAAAAAACTTTGATACTATAGTAAACTATAGTTAACTATAGTAAACTATAGTTAACTATAGTACTTTTTTTGTTAGGGCATGGATGCTTGTCTCTTCTTTGCCCCTGAAACAACATCTGATGTTGTTAGAGTTCCGTGATTACTCTGCTCCAAATGTATACTGTTTCAATAGACTTTTGAACTTGAATAAGTTATCTTTATATTTCATTAAAAATAGTTTCTTTCCGTCAGTTACGCTGTTTGTAAACTAGTAAAGTCAATTTATTTTCTCAAAAGTTGGAATTCTTGGTTATTTTTTGTCTAACACCCCTTTGGAAAATTCATTTAACCACCCTTGAGTTTAGATTTTTTAATTGCTTTATACCAAACTAATACATGTATGTACTTAGTTCTAACAAAAGGAACAACGACTGTTAAGGGGAGATCAAAAATGCAAAGTCAAAGAATAAAAACGAAGCAAGGAAAACAGAGACAAAAGCGAAGAACAGTGCGTAACTGGAAGGCAACACACAGAAAACTAAGAGTGAATTACTGTGAATTTAGCAATTATTGCAATGCTTTTATATTGCGCATAATGCAACGTAAGAATCTCAATAAATAAATTTGGCATTTGTATTTTGGTTACAACAGAGATTTATAATTCAGAGAATTAACTAATACGATATTTTCGAACAGGTCAAGATCATACACATTTCGGTGATTATGAGGTATGCCAAAACATTCATGATCAAAAAACACCCCTTTCCTTAAAGTTACATATTCCTAAAAGAGACAAATGATATCCAAAAATTAGAATTGTGTTTTTGCCACTTTAAATATTTAGATTTAATGAAGATTTCTGTTGTTTCTTTAGATTTTTCCTAATCTCTGACAACCTTTGTTTCCGATAACTAAAACCGAAATTTCCGATAACAAATTGAACCATTCAACCGCATTTCCGATAACATCCTGAAAGTTAAAAAAGGGCTATTTTTACCCTTTAATCACATCTTTGCGAGATTCTGACGATGTCATATTGTGGACAATAATTAATGTGAGGTAAATATAAGGATTCTGAAGAGAGGGGCTATATGCAGCAATGCCAATCGGCCAAAAACTTGCAAAATATAACAAATTTGACTTTTAAAGTCTTCTCAAGACTTACAAATACTATAATAGGATATATTGGGGCTTTATTTTGTATCTGTATTCATTCTTGTTCACAAAAAGCACAATCAACAGTCTCTGTTTCTATTTTTATACTGTTTATTTGCAACAATTTAATAACCTGTCAAAAGTTGTTATCCACCGAATGCCCGATAACGCGTTGAGCAGTGTGTAAGTCTTCCGGAATTTTTTTTCAAATGTTAAAATTTGCCCCCCCCCCCCTCCTGCTCCCTTCCCGGGGGTATAACAAGCCTTTTCATTGTCTAATCAACTGGTCAATTGATGTTTGGAAATCTTTGATGAATCGAAGTTGTTAGCAGCTGCTGTTAAACAATTCTCAAAAAATATTACAAAGTAGGTGCATATACATGAAAGTAAAATACTTAAAAAATGGATAAAATTTACTATCTAAAATTTACTTCAGTTGATTTTTTTTATATGTCATACATATTTCTGAATTTCAAAAAAAGAGGAATTAAGAGGTATTAATCAGCCAGTTCATTTTAAATTTCATATGCATTCTTTCCGCAAGAAACAATTTAAATATTGTACAGTAATAGAAAATTATAGGATATGTATTTTGATGTTTATCTCGTCATAAACCCTTCAAAGTTCTTTCTGTTTTTAGAGTGACCCGCGCGCTTAAGTTTCGAAGAAATTGCCGTTTCCATGGTTTCAAAGAAACAAACTCCTATTTAAAAATATTCCGGTTTTGTATCATTTATATAACGTAACTTAAAAGTCCATCAGTCTGGAATTGACAATATTGCGTTATTAATTAAGTATATTTGGCATTCTAAGTATGAGACTCTTTTGAACTGCTTATGAAAAGAAATGTTACAGTAAATAAACACACATAAAACATGTAATTTGTTTGTTTGTTTATTTTTATTTATATTTTTTTGGTATGTTTAATTGTTCTTTTTTAATCAGAAAATACCTTTAGACTTTTGAATTAATGGGAA